TGCAATGCCCTCTTGGGACTTTTGTGGGAGCAGAGTTGGTTAAGTAAAGGGCTCCCCCCATTGCCTGCAGTTCTCCATCTGCCCCCCCACCACAACACTCAACATCTCCCCCAGGTAAATGCAAACAAATATTTTACACAAAGCAATAGTGGTCTTTTTAGGCTGTCTTTATCCAGCCTTAATTGTCACCTGGGAGAAGAATGTTGCAATCTGCAGAGGCCTGTGGGGTTTCCTCAAATTCACTGCATCTTTCTGGGTCCCACTCTGTTAAGCATCATAGAATCATGTCTGCTGTCTGATGTGCTGTCAAGCCAAGTGTGGCTATCCCATAGTTTGTTCTCACTGTGTCAATGACTTAACACAGATGGCTGTTGTCAGGAGCTTGTTCCTCCAGTATGCCAAACTAACAATTACATGATAAGAGCTTATTTACATGTATCTTGTGCGCACTTCTCTGAGTATTCCATGAGTAGTTGCCAAGTAACTGAAAATATGTCTAGACACAGATGTTTCTGTATTCAACAACAGGGTTAATTTTCTGAGCTGCAAAGTCAAATGCATGTACTTCTGGTACAGAATGCACAAAATAAGGCAAAGATAAAATGTTAAGATCTAAGCAAGGCTGTAGACCTCACTCGGTACAGGGAATTATTCATCAAAATACAGTAACTCACCATACTGAGAATCAACCTCCAACTGATAACATTGTGATACAATTAATGGCAGCCCTTCTATCTATTTTTTCCTTTACTTGGGGTACCTTGGAAGGGGTGCTTCAGTCAGATTCCTTTGAATGCATACTAGTAATCAGGCACCTGACAGAAAACTCTTCCTGTACTTATAAATAAAAGAGAATGGGGAACCTTTATCTGTGAAAGGCTTTCAGGAGCTGTTTCAGTTACCTATTGTGGTGTGAGAAATCACTCCAAAATTTAGCAGCTTAAAATAATATCTTTTATCACTGCACACTTTTCAGTAAGCTGACATGGTTCATCAAGCAGATTTTTGCTTGGAAGATCTCATGTGATTTCAGTTGGATACTGCTATGGTTGCAAACCTTGAAAGATACAGCTGGACTTCGAGGTGGCTTGCCTGTGCTCTCACACAGGCATAAGGCTTGCACCTCTGCTGCAGTGAGGCCTTTCTGTCTGCCTTGAGTTTCCACAGCTTGGCTACCAAGGTCCAAGTATTATTGTCTCAAGAAAAAGTATTCTGACAGACCCATCAATTTAGACTTTAAGGATATCACTTCTACTGCACTGTATTGGCCAAAGACAGCCTGGACTCAGCCAAGAGAAATAAGACTCCATCTCTTACTAAACCAGTAAAACAGCCACCTTGCAAGAGAGGAAGTGGGTTGGGAGATAGCAGTGAGGACTTACTTGAACAATGCAGTGTGTCACTTCAGGATATGCTTGGTCTGTCTGGGTATAGTAAGCCAGATATTTATGGACTGATAAGCACATGCTGGAGACTGTGAAGTGAGCTGGAAAATGAAGATCTGCATCCATTGGTTAAATCCTACATATTTTTTAATCTTGCATATTAAATATAAATCAGTGCATGTTTCAATACAGGATAGAGAGGATTTTTTTTTTTTTTAGTATATTGATAGTCCATGGAGGAACCTGCCAACTTTTATGATAAAAGACCAGGTAATGTGCATTTTAGGCTTTGTGGTTCACGTGGTCTTTGTTGCATCTTCTTAGCTTTGCTGTTGTAGAGGAAAAGAGCACAGGACATTGTATAAACAAGTGAGCATAGCTTGTTTCATTGAAACTTTACCAAAAGAGGTAGCAGATTTGACCCAGGGGCTATATTTTGTCAATGCCTAGTCTATGATCTCTTCAAAGGAAGAACTTTTCCCTGTGCCTGCTGTTCAATCAATAGTAAACTTGGTGTTAGAAAACATCTATGAAGTGCATCAAGTCTGATTTGGCCAGGGGAGTCACATAGTGCCTTAGAGTATCTCTTAAACACACAGTACAATACTTGTGTGTAATATGGGAACTTGAGATCTGTAAGTCAGCTGGTCCACAATTATTAAGGGAAGGGCAATTGTTGACATAGCAGTGTATACTGAAGTTTAGGATTTTCCTAGTTCAATTATACCTGAATTGATTACATTTAGCTACATGACAATAGAAATAGCAGAGCATGCAGTTTTTATTGTAAAAGTGGAAGTGTTGCCGGGCGTGGTGGCGCACGCCTGTAATCCCAGCTCTCAGGAGGCTGAGGCAGGAGGATCGCTGTGAGTTCAAGCCCAGCCTGGGCTACACAGTGAGTTCCAGGGGAGGCTGGAACAACAAAGAAGAACCACACCCCAAAAAGCAAAAAAAAAAAAAAAAAAAAAAAAAAAAAAAAAAAAAAAAAAAAAAAAAAAAAAAGTGAAAGTGTTAAACTTTACTTCATTATTGAGAATAAATTCAAATTTATTATGGAGTATTTGGAGATCATAGATTGTATCTAAACTACCTTTAAAACATTTTTAACACAAAAGACACATAAGCCTCTTGGAATGTAGTGCCCCCCAGTGTTTCTTTTTTTACAATAGGATAATGAATGAAATGGGGGCTAAGTTAGATTATCAGCAATGGATCATTGCAAAACCAACCAGCTTTTAAAAAACCTTCAAGAACACTGACAAATGTAAGATAAACATTTAGATTTTAATTTATATTGAATTTTCTTTCTTTCTTTGAGAATGTTAGATGCTATTTTCTAAAGAGATTAACAGATGACAGTATATTTTATATAAGTCCTTGGAGTTAAACAGCAGTATAAAAAAAGAAAAAGAGAAGCTTGTGTGGGCAAAATATCTGAATTTTTTTTTTTTTTGCTTAAAAAGTTTTTCATTAGAAAATTACACATATATAAGCAATAGAAGAACTCTAAACATTTTTAGCCCTGTTATAAATAAACTTTCACAGGGTAGTAGAACTTTTAATTTAAATAATGAGTCATAGTGTTTCTCTATGTTATTTTCTACAAATTTTCTTAATTATTTTGTGTTTTAGACAGGCGTTCTTACAGAGGTTAAGTGATCAGATTTTAAAGTCTATTTTAGGAATTACGAAAAAGATATTTTCCAGTTTCAGAAAAGAAGACTTGAAAACCAACAAAAATAACTATAGGAAATGTTTAATTGGTTTCTGACCACTGAGGCTTTTGTCATGGTAACATGATAATTCCAAAAGAGAGGAAGTATTACATGAATCAGGGGTTCTTCCCATGTGGCTGTGTTTTAGTGAACAAGATATCCAAGCCTATCTGTAAATCATGCTTGTCCCTCTCTCCGTGATATCATGAAATTGCACAGCAAGACCCAGGTGACAAGAGAAGGAGCTACAGAGAAAGTGAGAAAGAAGTCTTAAAAAAGGGAAAGGGTTGCTTTAAAAGAACAGGTGTGAGGTTTGCTGTATGATTTGGTATCATTATAGAATCATCAATGGGTTTATAGTTTGCATGATTCCTACTTTCTCACAATAAGTCTGCCTTTCTAAATGCAAACTGGCTATGGGGTAGAGGCAGTAAAGCTCATCCCTTTGAAATCTGCTGCTCCTTTGGTGTTCTGGAACTGAGGCTTAACTTCTGTCTTTATTATCAAAGGTAACATTGTACACAAATTACTTATGTAAGTTTTATCAAACTGGTTCGAGATCTTCAATGATGTTTGTGGATATATAGGTGGGAGAATGGAATAGAATTAATGGATTAAAAGAAAAGTAACATCTTAGTAGAGGCGTCATTGAAAATTCAGATGTCCAGAATGGTGATGGATTTTAATCACAGCTTGGAAATGTAAATTTTACCCACAAGGCACTACGTGTTTATGGAGCTTTTGAAAATAACAAAGGTGTCTTCAGATTGATCCTCACTCCAGAGATAGCCCGTGAGGAACAGAGATGCACGCCCTACACAGCACTGTGGCAGGCAGTGCTGCACCCTTGTTATGCTTGACCATATGGTGAAGACCCAGGGCCAGAAGTGTCTCCTGCTGAGGGATTCATAGTGCAGCTTTCCACAGTGCATGAAATGCTTAAATGAATACTATTTCAATTTGTCTTTCCACCTAAAACAATCATAGAGCAATGCATAGATATTTTAAAAAGATTTTTCTGTCGCACTCTGCTTGTCTCAACCTTTTTGTACTTCCAGCTTCACTGTCAGAAGGCTCAATTATCTATTCTGCTTATATGATGCATTGCCTTTCTCCATTTCCAATCCAGTTTTTCTTCATCCACCCTCCTCTAAGTCCAGTTCTTTTCACTAGGCCCTATTTATCTTGTACATCATATTCCCTCTTACTGTTGGTTCATTCCAACTCTAAGGGGACTCAGCAATTTTTCATGAAAGAAAAATCATAGGTTTTGTTTGTTTGTTTGTTTGTTTGTTTCTCTTTTTTTTTTGCTTCTTTTTAGGCCTTCTGCATCCTGACAACTATTGGACTAGGATTACCAAACTGTGTTACTAACCCCAGTTTGGCAGGACTAATATTTTGTACAGATACAGTAACACCCTCGCCTCAGGCTCTCAGCACAGGTCTGTCCTTCATGCTCACCAAAGACTGGAGAAAAGTACCTAAGCAAATACCTCAATCTTTTAGCCAAATGCATAGTGTTAAATGCCTTCAACTCAGCTGTTTTGCCCTTTATATCTATTGTTCTGGTATTTTCTATTATTAAAATCCTACAATATTTTGGGCCAGGGATTTAGCTCAGTGTTTCTGCTGCCTGCCTTGCAAGTGCAAGGACCCAAGTTTGATCCTCAGTACCCAAAAAAAAAAAAAAAAAAAAAAAAAAAATCCTGCAATGTTTGCAAAACTTTTTCATATGCTTACTACCAAAGAGGATGTCTATAATAAGAAATTATTTCAGTACTTCTTGATTGCACCAACTATTCAATTTGTAACTAAGTAGACTAAGTAAAATTCTGCATTTTCCTAATATTAACAGGGTTTTCCTCCATTGCTTCATAGTGATTTTGTTTTTCCTTTGCAGATGGGGACTGGAAGGTGACTGTTGCCACTCGGGATCTTGAAAATGCTGGCACCACGGCAACAGTATTTCTTTATGTCTATGGAGAAACAAGATGTTCAGGTCCTATTATTTTGGGGTCTGGAAAACACCAGCTGTTTAACCCCAACAGTGCAGATACATTCAAGGTAAAATTGATTGCTACAATATATCACAGTATGCATTACCTAATATAGATGCAAGATGACTTTTTCTTGTTTTGGTGCTGAATTTGTATTGTTTTCTTGATATACATGAGCTATTTTATCATAAAGGAGCTATGAAAGAACAGTAATCGTGGGAATATAAGATTATGGTTTCTCCCTAATTTTTATTTGTATAAAGATAAAAATGTATATAGATTTTAGAAAAATTAAAAATTACAATACAAACTTTACTATTAATCTTACAAAAAAATTGAGTCCTAGTCTTTTTTTTTTCCTCATTGAGTGTATTGGTACATTTTAGGTATACAGTACAGTTACATTCATCATTGGGATTTTGTACCTGTACATGACAGGTCTTGGTTCTCATTTTTTCCCCTTGTCCCTCCCCTCCCTTCACCCCCTCCTCCCCTCCCCATTTACAAACATTTTATTTCCTTTTTTTCATTTTCTCCTATTTTTTTTCTTTCTCTTATTACCTTTCCCCTACCCTTCCCACTTTCGCTACACCAAATAGTTTCTCTGATGTGAATAAACTATAATAGTACATAAG